AGTTGCATAGTACTTCAGTGCTGAACCATTTCAATGGTTATTTATTACCTTTGCTGCATAGCTGTATTAGTCTAGCCATAAAGCCAACATCCATATTGTATGAACAAGTATCATACTTTGAATTACACAAGTTTTTACATCTCTTAGACTTCCCAACCCCAGGCTAGTTTGTCTTTCCAATAGATTGCTATATGCTTCAGAACTTATCTGTTACAAAAATGGCTCTGTAAGGTGATTTAAATAAGAGTCACAGTTTGAAATGATATGTGTATGAGTGAGGATGTCCTTGTATTTAATGAAAACACTAATCATTTGGTTCCCTTCATTTTCATGTACTTCTCTTTTTAAAGTACCTTCTGACTTTTTATCCTCTAAAAGAAACCGGGAAAAATATCACAGTGCCTTAATTTAAAGGACTGCATAGTGTTTGTGAACTCTGCAGCCTCCCACGCTACCTATATATTGAGAACAATACTTAGGATCTTACTAGCAGAAATGTAATAATTGGAGTACAATGTGCTTTGTTCTGAATAATAATTCTCAGTGTTTTAAATATACTCGACTCGGTGCAGAAGCACCTCGTTTTAATATACTTGAGACTTTCTATTCTGCATCAAAGGTGCATGTTGCTTGTAGAGGTTCTAGACCAACCGTCCTTGATCTTTCATCCCGACTGAGGGAAAGTTCGCATTGAGGGGCTGCTGCTCCAGCCTCTGAGCCGCGTCTACACTAGCATGGGCGTTTGCTTTCCTGGGGCAAGAAGCAGCAGCACACCTTGACGATCTGCTCACGGACTTGATGATCTGCTCAGGTCCCTGCTGACCCTACCAACTATGAAACCTTGAGCCACTGCTACTTGTCCCTGGGGAACATCTGTGCCATGTGCCCGCTGGGGTGCGGCAGGTTAGCCCAGGTGGGGTAGGGGACTGTGCTGTCCCCAGCAGCCTTTGCAGGTCCCCAGGGCCCCAGAGGTGATCTCTCAGGGTCAACCCCCTCCCCCCCCCAAACACTGCTACCATGAAGCACAGGGAACACCTGAATGCGCAGTGTGTGCACAAATCGCACACCTGAATGCGCAGTGTGTGCACAAATCGCACACCTGAATGTGCAGTGTGTGCACATATCACACAGCATTACTTATCTGGACATGGCCCTTGAGTTTTGCCATTGCCTTCAGCCAGAGTAGTTGCCAAACGTAAGTGCATTGAGGTCACTGTGCAGAGGGCAGCGGTTCTCAACTTTTTTAGGCTTGGTGCATCCCTAGAGAGACTCAAGACACCCCTCGAAAAATGACAGCTCTTAGTTTTCACTCTTTTTTTGCCTATGGAAAAATGGTACAGCAGCTTTTCTACTGCAGAAAATTCAGAAAGACTAAAACTATGGATTTCTCTCTGAAATCTCTGGGGTTATTTGTAAGTCATGTTTGCAAAGCTACCAGTGCTAACATTGTGTGGCACCCCACGGCACCCTTGAAGGCACGCCAGGATACTGTGGGACCTTGGCTGAGAATCACTGGCGCAGGATAAAGAGGATTTGGGCTGCATTGTCGTGCTTTAGGATGGATTGCAGAATAGCCACCTTGCTTCCCCTCACAGTATCCTAGTTCCAGCCTTTCTCTAGCATCAGATCTGGGCTCTCTATTTCCTCCACTGTAAGTTCATATTACTGTAGTTGGCCCCAGTGGAGGTCAGGACCCCTTGTAGTAGACACTATGCATATAGAAAGAGATGGACCCTGTCCTAAGGAATCTATACTCTTCTGCTGTCAACAGGCATTGCACTTCTCCTGGGAAATGCCTTTTGTTCTGGGATCCTTCAGACCTTTGCACCCATTCTGCTTCAAGGACCTGTGAAATATGCCAGATAATACGTGCTAACGCTCCCCCTGCTATGTGGGGGTCTGTGAATTAATTGTAGCTCATTTAACTTAATTGTTGTTCATTCCAGGGACAAGCTTGGCAGGTGTGTGCTCTCCCTTGCCACCTACCCACTGACAAGGAGCAATGCAGCTGAGCAGGGCTGTGCATGTAAAGGGCTGCGCCACTCCTGTTTGGATCAAAGGCAAAACCTGGGCAATCAGGGCAGCTTGAAATGAGACGTCTGTCTGCAGCCTATGTAGGATGGACAACCCATGAGAGCATTACTGTCCTATTGTAGGTACTGGACCAGAGAGCTCAAGGGCCAAAATTCCCGGGAGTTTGTTGCAGAGCCAGGAAGTGTCCGGAGTCGCAGTCTGCTCTGCTAGAAACAAAGCACAGAATCGGCTCGAACAAAGCTCTGCAGTTCAAAGGCATTTACTTCACTGAGCACAAGTGTCTGCTAGAGCTGCAGGTCATGTGCCTGTTCACAGTGGCTTCTTTCAGCTCGTGAGGGAGGCAGTGCTTGCTGGCCTCAGCCGGGACTTGGTCACAGTGCTGGCAGCATGCAGCTAGATCACAGCATTGAAGACGGTAAGCAAAGGCACTGTCTGGCATGACTCTGGCTGAGGTCTACCCAGGGGCTGTGTTGCTTTGTCATGTTCTTCACTAGGGCATGTCAATGTGACAGTACATCTATGGCCAGGCCGTATGCACACAGGTGTGATGCAGCGTATGTAGGGACGTGTGGACTCACCAATGCACACCCAGGAGCACATCTATTGCTTTACCAACCACCCTGAACCAAAGCACTGTACACAAGTGCTCCCAACCGCCGGGGAAACCAAGATCCAGGTCACTGAGTACAGGGGCAGTGAGACAGGGAACTCCAGATACTCATTGCCTCCCACTTAGATCCACGGTTTGATGTCTGTCTTCAGGCCCCTTTCTCTTACTGAATTTTTATGCCGGTGTTACGGAGTTTCGGTGGGCCCATGCTTGCTCATGCAGGTTTACAAGAGATCATTTGGGGTAAATCAGGCATGGCCTTCAGACCCTTCAACGGGGCCACAGACAGCTGCAGCCTCAGCACCGTGAGGGCCTTGTACTCCCCGAATGCCAGGATTTTGCATCTTTGCCTCCTGATCTTATGTGGGTAGAGGCAAGGCAGAGAGTGAAGCCTCTTGCCCCTGCTCCCTGACTACAGCAGCCCATCTACCCTGTTGTCAGAGATATCAGTGAAGCATCCCAAAAATCTAAATAAGAAACACGAAGGGAAGCAGAGATAAGTGATGATCTGCATCTTCTGATACACACAAAATGGAAAAATCCTGACATCCTCGCCAGGACAAAAGCCCTACTGAAGGGCAATGAAGTGCCCAGGCATAAGTAAAAACCAGACAGCAAAGCCTCAGCTGGTGTGAACTGTCTAGCTCCCTTCATGGATTTGCAGTGATCTCCCCACAGTCTCTAGCTGGGAGATGCAATAGGCTGGGTGGCTTCCAGTATAGTCTTTCCACTACTCTAGGCACTGGGGAGACTAAACGGATAACCTTGGTGCTATGGGCAGGCAGGGGGAGAGCTGCAGAGGCAATGGGAATGTACAAAGGCCAGGTCTGAAACAAATGGAAAATGAGAGCTGTGGGTCTGTAGTGAGACGCGCTTCAGCTAACAATGTATAGTGCAGAAAATAAAATCTCTCCCCTGAATTTTTGTCTATGAGAAAATTTCATCCCCATTTTGGTCATGCTTAGGAACAACCTCTGGAGCCCAGTTTACCTTCAGTAGACGTGTGTAAGGAATACATTTATCTATGTATATTTTACATAGGAATTTGGGCTTCTAACTACTTTTTCAGAATTTCACATAGAATTTTACTTTATTTTTTATCCAACAGCCAGCACCTGATGCTGTGCCCTAGTCAGCTGGGCCCTAGCTTTTCTGCTCCACTCATCTACACTCTTCAGTGGAGCAGATAACAAGGCTGCGGGTCACACTTCCATGAAGATTACACCTACTCTATGCTGTGGAAAAGGGCTTTCAATTCCACGTAGCATGTGGATGAGAACCGGGCTTCAGAGACTAGCATTGCCTGTGGGTAATAGCATGGAGAAGGGGCATTGAGGCTTCCATACCTGAAGCTGACCATCTCTGGAGGGAAGGAAAGGCTTACCAGACCTCAGTGGTACTATTCTGCTTCATTCCTCCCTGGTCTCCATGTGCTTGCTCTATGGATCTGACATGGAGAAGACACACACGCTTGCTTTCCACAGCTTGGTGAAGCTCTCCTGGGAGCAGAAATGAAATGCAGCGCTGTATTATCTTCCCTGGAGAGCCACTATATTGGCGGTGATCACCTTGGATTCAATGCAGCCAGATTGCTAGGGATCTGGGGCTGAGATCAGAAGTAAAAGGGCTTTAAGAGGACCTCCTCATGGCTTCCTAGCAATCCAAAAGAGCTCTGGCAGGCCCTGCAACTAATTTAAGCAATAATCATTGCATAAAGGGTCTTGGGGCTGGTCGGTGGCATAAGGTGAGAGAATCTCCATCTAGGCAAGTTGGAGAAATGTCGTTCTCTTCAAGTCCTTCCTCCCAGGGATTTAACCATGTGGTGTGATCCAAACAGAAGTAAAACGTGATGTTCTTTGGGGCGATCTCAATTATATTGGCTTTGGCTTGAGGTTGGCAAAAATCTGGGCCAAAGTGGTGTTACCCATTTTGCATCTTGGAGCAGGTTTCCTTTAGAGGACACTGAAAATCCCCGAGCATAGACCACTGGTTAAGCTGTACCATTGTAGTAAACCCACATACTTATTTCTCTAGTGTAGATGCACCCTTCGGGAATTAGTTTCTTTACTGCGCTTTTAATATTGTTGCCATCCACAGCAGATCAATGCTAACACTTGTGTTGTATAAGTCATGGGATCTGAGAAACATGGTTAAGTTTGATTACTTGGCGTGCTGTTAATGAAAGGGGGCTGTGGCCATTGTTAACAGAGGGAAGGCTGCTACTCTGCACTTCTAAAATCTCTACAAAATAATAATAATAATAATAATAATAATGTGCTGAGCAAAGTGGATTTTACCTTTCCGCTTGGAAAAACAAAATGTTACATTAGCACCGGATGAAAGATTTTCTTTTTTCTTTTATTTTAAAACCTCTGTAAAATCAGAGCAATGGGCCATTCCAGCATTCAGCCAATTTAATTAGCGATCTCGGAGTAATCATGGTAATGTGCCAAATCAGCAAAGATGTCATTGGGGTTCTTGCAGTTCAGGTTGCAAAAACAAGCGTTGATCCACATGATTTTCCAGGAAAACCCAGTTCCACCTGGGCACTCAAAACTCACTTCAATGGTCTTTGACTTGTAGGGTGTGCAACACCTGTCGTCTGTGCAGACCCCACAGTATTTTGGTCTGTATGTTTTTGTGCTCACGCAGCCTGAAATGGTGTAGTTCATCGGCTCATCAGCTCTATAGACAGCCAAGCATTTCTTCCCAGGCTAGATCAGGGCAGGAGGGCAGAAAGAGAGACAAGGATTAATTTCTTTGCTCGTGAATCTTAATTGTCTTTTTCTATTTGCCTCGGCTACCTTCTTCCAAGCAGCTAGCACTTCCTTTATGTTAACAGTAAATCCGGTCAGAAATGTAAATGTAAATGGTGAAAAACAATGACATTTCTGACTTGCTTCCATTTCTTCGGATTCAAAATGGGATCCATTTGCATTTATTTTTATAGAATATATTTCCAATTCTTTTTTTGTTTTGAAATGTCATTCCCTCCCATTCTCCTTTTCTATCACTGAGTGCAATAACATGAATAAATAATATCCAGGGTTAGTATTTTTCTCTTTTTTTCCCTCAGTTTGTTTAATTTCCAAGTTCAACTTTGCAAAACTTCCCCAACTTTGGCAAAGTCATCCAGTGGCAGACTTTTCTTTTTCCCTTTGCCAGTTAATCTTCTTTTTTTCCAAGGTGATCAGGTTGGTTGAAGAGTTGGAGCAGGAAAAGATGAATTAAAAAAAAATCCAACCAACCTGTGGACATAATTCATTTTGGAGGAACAAAGCATGTGTTCTGAATTTTGAAAACTAAATTCAATGTCAAATCTTAAAAAAAAAAGAAAAAAGTTTCACTTAATAACACTTCCCTATCAAAAATTGTAGGAAAAAATATTAAAATGTTGTTTTTCCATGACACGTTCAATTTCTGATAAAAACACAATAGAAAACCTTCACCCAGCTGTAATTAGCAGTCCTCATCTGTTTTATTAGGTTAGCATTGTTACACCACATTTCAGCCCAGCTTGAAGGTCCAAAACAAATGTGTATGTGCCACTTAAATGTTACTTACAGCTTAATTTCAGCCTACAAGGACAGGTATCAGCAGAAAGATTGCACGGCTTTGGCCATGTTTCTCAGTAAAACACAAGCTCATTTTTGTTTTGAGCCAATGTAAGACCCCCCAAATCTTGCCATTCTGAAATTATTCACCAAATGACAAATTTAGCTTAAGGGCATTGATCATTTACTATGTTGCATTGTGGATTCGAGAATCAAACTGATTCTTCAGGGAGGAAAGGCAGCAACTTTTCAAAAGAAAGCCGACCAGGGAAAAATATTCGAAGTTCACTTTTGTCAGAAGATTGACCTCATTCGCACAAATCAAAGCAAATGAAATCCCCCTCCCCCCCACAACCACCACCCTACCCCTCCTCTCCCTTTAATTTTCAGGACTTTGAATGTCATCAGTCATAGACTACTTTACACAGCCCTCCTTTGGAAGGTCATATGGATTTATGCACTTGGAAATGTACTTGCCCCATCCTTCCCCTGGTTGCAGGCAGAAGGTTTCCACAGTTATAGCTACATAGAAAGATGCCTCGCAGCTTCCCATCGGGCTTTTTGTTAGCTGAGTTATGGGCGAATCTGAACTAGTGATTGGCACAGGTGCCTACGCTGCTGTCACTTGCAGCGGCTCCTAGGTGGCTTTAAGCAATCCTCCCACAATGGGAGCTGTTCATATCCAGGATATGAATAGAGTTGCTGGTGGTATGTGGAGACATGCTGACCTATCCCCCCCCAGCCAGAATGCATTTAGGTCAAAGCATGCATTTGCTAATCATGGCATTCCCATCACTTTTGTTTGCAAAAGGTCACCATCACGCTTTCCAAAGGGCAGCTCTCCCAGGGCACATTCACAGCATGTTTTTGGCCAATCAGTGACCTGGAAGAGAAGCTGGGACGTGGTCCTACCTTAATGTGTTTGGTTATATCCACTTCACACGGCCGCAAGTTGCAGAGGCGACTTTCTTTCATGAGCTGGCACTGCGGGTTATCATTGGAAATTCTTGTTGCTATCCCCAGCCCGCAGGTCTTCGAGCAGGGGCTCCAGGACGAGGTGTGAACAATGCAGTTCTTCTGCCAGGATTCATTCTCTCCCCCATAAGCTATGGAACAGATTAACATGCATTACTCATTGAGACAGGTTTCCACACACTTGTCCCTTCTAGGTCTCTCTCTATAGTTAGGCCAATAAACCAATGAATAATTACATTGAACGGACATAGAGTCCATGGGGCTGGATGCAATGCATCCAAAGGTGCTGAGGGAATTGGCTGATGTGATTGCAGAGCCATTGGCCATTATTTTAGAAAGCTCGTGGCAAAAGGGGGAGGTCCCAGACTACTGGAAAAGGACAAATATAGTGCCCATTTTTAAAAAAAGGAAGAAGGACGATCCAGGAAACTACAGGCCAGTCAGCCTCATCTCAGTCCCCAGAAAAATCATGGAGCAGGTCCACAAAGAATCCATTTCTAAGCACTTGGAGGAGAAGAAGGTGATCGGGAACAGTCAGCATGGATTCACTAGGGCAAGTCATGCCTGCCCTACCTCATTGCCTTCTGTGGTGAGATGACTGGCTCCATGGATATAGGGAAAGCAGTAGACATACTATACCTTGATTTTACCAAGGCTTTTGATACCAACTACCACAGCATTCTTGCAAGCAAGCTGAGGAAGTATGGGTTGGATGAATGGACTGCAAGCTGGATAGAAAGCTGGCTGGGTTGTTGGGCTCAGTGAGTAGTAATCAATGGCTCAACGTCTAGCTGGCAGTCAGTATCATGTGGAGCGCCCCAGAGGTCGGTCCTGGGGCCAGTTTTGTTCAATATCTTCTTTAATGATCTGGAAGATGGGATGGGTTGCATCCTTAGCAAGTCTGTGGATGACACCAAGCTGGGAGTAGTAGATACACTGGAGGTTAGGGCTAGGGTTCCGAGTGACCTAGCCAAATTGGAGGATTGAGCCAAAATAAAGCTCATGAGGTTCAACAAGGACAAGTGCAAAGTCCTGCACTTAGGACAGAGCAATCCCATGCACTGGTCCTGGCTGGGGCTGACTGGCTGGGCAGCAGCTCTGCAGAAAAGGACCTGGGGGTTACAGTGGACAATAAGCTGAATATGAGCCAGCAGTGTGCCTTTGCTGTGAAGAAGGCTAACAGCATCCTGGGCTGCATTAGTAGGGGCGTTGCCACCATATCGAGGGAAGTCATTATTCTGCTTTATTCTGCACTGGTGAAGCCAAATCTGGAGCACTGTGTCCAGTTTTGGGCCGCCCACTACAGAAAGGGTGTGGACAAATGGAGAGAGTCCAGCAGAGGGCAACAAAAATGGTTCGGGGGCTGGGGGACATGGCTTATGAGGAAACGCGGAGGGAACTGGGTTTATTTAGTCTGCAGAAGAGAAGATGGACGCGGGATTGAATAGCAGCCTTCTACTACCTGAAGGGGGGGATTCAAAAGAGGATGGAGCTGGACTGTTCTCCATGGGGGCAGATGACAGAACAAGGAACAAACAGTCTTAAGTTGCAGTAAGGGAAGTTTAGATTGCATAAAACACTGGAAGAGATTACCCAGAGAGGTTGTGGACTCTCCATCCTTGGAGGTTTTTAAGACAAAACCTTGGCTGGGATGATATAGATGGGGATGGGGATGGATATGATGATAGATGGGGATGGCCCTGCATTGCGCAGTGGGTTGGACTAGATGACCTTCTGAGGTCCCTTCCAGCCCTAATTTTCTGATGCTGTGATTCTAGAGTTATAGAGACGTAGAGCTGGAAGGGACCTTGAGAAGTCATCTAGTTGAACCCCTGCCTGAGTCAGGATCATCCTTAACCAGACCATCCTATACAAATCCATTTTCTAACCTCTTAGCAAATCTACACCATCAACCCTGACACAACAGGTGACATAACACCCTAATCTGCCACTGGTAAAGCAGGGGGGGGTCACAGCAGCCAAAGTCCTGCTGCTGCAAAGGTTGTTAATATACTCTCAAGGCCTAAGAAGAGGTCCACCTTCTGCTTGACTCTGCTTTTCTACTAAACTCAAGCTTTGTCTCCTCCTCATCTCCACACAGTGTCCTTCCTGATACCTAATTGATGGTCTCTGTGGGGCAGGGACTGTCTATTTTTCACCTAGCACAATGGGCCCCCTTCCTTGTTTCTGGCTCCCAGATGCAAACATACATAAATAATTGAAGCTGCCAATGCAGGACAGAGATGAGACTGGAACCACTGGAGATGGTTTAGATACCACTGATTCTGCTTTAAACAGGAGTTGGCTTAGATGGCCTTCTGAGGGCCCTTCTAGCCCTGTTTTTCTATGAAGTTTAATTTTTCTGCTGATTTATGATTGATAGTCCATGACTAAGGGCTTCATGGCTAAGGGATCTGGTACGCAGTTAAAGCCTTTCAGGCAGGGGAGTACACATTGGCACACTGAATTGGAAGGGGCCTGCAGCCCATCAGGCCCGTTCCCTGACCTGGCAGACAGCCATTTGTCCAAAAGACACACAGGAGCACCTATTCTGGTTCCTCTTGCACACCACAGCTGGAGAGGACCTTATTCAAAAAAGCCCTGTGTCACACAGGAAATAAAAAGCAAAAGAGATGGGAGCACTGCCGGTGCACCGGGCATGGTGGTGAATAGCTCACTAGGAGCCACTCAGAACCAGGCTGGTCTCAACTTGTAATGCAGTCACACACTGTAGTGCAGGCTCCCACAAACAGATACGAAGGGATGGTCCCTATCCTGAGGAATGTCTATTCTAGGTAGACAAGACAGCCAAAGGAAGTATTATTGCCTCCATTTTACAGGTGGAGAACTGGGCCGCAGAGATTAAGGCCAAGCTCCTCCAAGGAAGCCAAAGTAAGTTTAGACATCTAGGTTTCTTGGAGGATCTGAGTCTACAGGACTTGCCCAGAGTTATACAAGGACCTGGAGTTAGGAACTGAACACCAATTGCTTGAACCTGAGTGCAGGGCCTCACCTGCTGCTTGACGATGACGAAGGACGGTCCAGGGATCCGGGCACCAGGACCTGGCAACACTAAATTCAAGTGCCCCCCCACCACTGACATCCAACAACACTGAGTGAATCACTGCTCTGGCCTCAGTCCCTTTCTGTACAATCATGATAATACAATTTCCCCTCCTCACTAGCTTGCATGAGCATGCATGTACATTAAAACATACATGTTGTACGAGGTTGTGGGGGGGCATATAAGTACGTACTTAAGGGGGGGAATGTACTGTCCATGCTCTCAAGTAAACAGGGATGATACAATGTACCTGAACTCCACCTTTACATTGAAATACTCCCGACGCTACATAGAGCAGCTGTCACAGAAATGGTGATGTTGGAGTATGCAGTGACACAAGAGCGGTTTGAAACGCTCTTGGAAGTAGAAGTGGGCTCAGGATGGCAAAGGTCAGCTCCAACCTGTCTCCAGCTTTTGGGTTGCTCAGATTCAGGGTGATAGAAACCAGCCAAAAAGCCTCAATCCCAGTCCAGTTTATCTCAAAATTCAAAGCTGCCTGGCTTCAATTTGGGCCCCTCTCTACTTTGGATGCCCAGCCCAGAAGGGGACAAAAGCAAAGTTAATGGGACAAAAGCAAAGTTCCCCCATGCTAAAAGCTATTCCTTTTAGAGAGGCCTTTGCCCACCTAGCTCTGACTGATGAAAGTGTCAGCAGCACCTACGAGTTTTGGATAACGCTGTCTAGCATCTCTGCGGATGGGCTCGAACGCATATATGATGAGCACTGCTGTATAATGCACACTGAGACTTCTCTATGGCTGAGCCACACGGAGTAGGAGTCTGCTACAGCAGCCAGGTAGGCTACCAGCTTCTTGGGTGCGTAGAGTGGAGACTCATGATTCAGGTTTTAAGGTCTCTGGGTTCAATTCCCAGCTCTAGCCAAGTCAATGCTTGCTCTGTAGGCACTATACCTGCAGAGGAGATGTGTCGTGGAGACGTCTTCCTGACCCTCCTGGAGTCGTCGCAGATCCACTGCCCACAGCACTTGCCTGCCACCTTAATCTGCTTTGGGTTCGGGCACCAGACGAGCGGGGGGCGCGAATTTACGCACAGCGGGATGCAGCCCACGGCCCCATTAATGCACGTGCAGTTGTACTTGCAGTTGGGCTGGAAGGAATCTCCATTCCTGTACCTGATGCCATTGAGGAGACAACCCACCCCTGCAATTTCTACGAGGAAGATGAGAAAGAGAGAGAAGGTGATTAAAATAGCAAACGGTTACAAGTAACCAATCCCTTTAAGTGGGCATTCTCCAGCCTGACTGGACCAGCATTTAAAGGTGCCAGCATCACACGATCAACGCAGTAGGGAGAATTTGAGGCCTTATGCTCAGAGCCGAGTGAAACTCAGAGTTTTGCAGGAAATTCGGCCCTTAACAGATCCTGTTTCCATTTTGAATTTTAAAAAAATGAAAGCAGAAATTGTCAAGTATTTAGGTTCCCAATAACATTCCTTGTTTTGAAATGGGATTTTAAATATTTTTAACATTTTTATACTTCTCTTTCTCACACAGTGTCATGAACTGTGAGGAGGAACAGTACTTAACATGACATATCATATCTTTTGGGGGTCACGTGATGATGCACGGTAATGTGTCACCTTGCCAGCAAAGTGCAACAGTTTGATTATTATGTATTTTTTAACATTAATCCATTGACCAGGTTCATCCCCACACAAGCAGGGAACACTTGGATGTAGAGACTAAAAGAAAATGCTTTGTACTTCACTTCAGAGCAGCTTTCCCATTTTGCAAAACTGGCTCCGACGCGGCAGTAAGCCTGCAACGTGAAGGCTGCAGTTTCATAGCCCGTCACAGAGAGGCAGCATGCTCACATCGCTACTGTTAGGTTTCCCTGTTGGTTAAAGACAGGGCTGAGTCAGAGCCCGCTCTAGCTGGGCAATCAGC